AGTGCCTACAGATCTGGGTTGATCTATTTTAATCTGACCTCTCCTAAAACCATTACTTTGCACATTCGAGCTGACTGTCAGCTCCATCCATAAATAGCTCTGCTGGATTCCCAGTCTCCCCGAGTCCTTCTCCATCTGATTCCAGCCACACTAAGCCATGCCATGCTATTAAAAAGGATGCTGAATTTGAAAGCTGGGTACAAGGTCTCCGATCAGACACAAAATGAGCAGCCAGCCAGCATGTTTGGATGGAAGGATCTCTAGGTGTAGAGAGCGGCATCCACTGCCTGTCATCCCTGCAACCGGAAGTTTATGCAGGTCCCCAAACCTTGAAAGTTTCCTTGTTGCACAAAAAAGTTTTCTCACTGGACTTCTCACAGATGACTTTATCCCAGGTTTCCCACAGCCAGGAAAGGCCATGCTATGTATGATACATGTAGTTCATAACACCATTTGTACCAAGCTGTGTGGTGCAGTCATGGCACCTGGGGGACAGGATGCCATCCAAAGAGACGAGACAGGCTCAAGCAGCAGACCCAGGAGAAACTCATATGGCCCAACAAATACAAGTGCAACGTGCTGCGCCGAGGTTGTGGCAACTCCTACTAGCAATACAAACTGGGGCATAGCAGTTTGTTGTCAGCAGCCTCCTTCAGCATGAGGCTGCTGGTCTCCTGGGCTGCCAGCTGGCTCTGTGTTGGGTACTGCACCACTCCTATGAGTCCTGCAATTGACCCACTCACCCCAATTTTAGCACAGCACCATCCCAGCCAGTGTTGCTCAGAAAAGTAAAGAGACATTTGTACTACCGGCCAGGCAGGGCTTGGTGTTGGGTACTGTCCGTCAGTCTGTTTCATTACTAACATGCTCTGGTACAGGTTTTGTCCTGTGCCAACTAGTCCTGTCCCAGGCATTGCTGGAGGCCTGTTCAAGGATGTGCACCTGTTTCTGAAAGGCAGTATAGTTGTGGTAACTCTCTTTGGGGCTGGGAGATGGAGAAAGAGTGTTTAGTCATGAGTTTTTCTGTGCTGCATACCCTTAGGGTCTGAGAATGGCTTCTGGCCCACTCTACCCACTAGCGTGGACTTGTCGCAACATCGACATGGGCTTGTAGAGGCTGGCTCGTGTGCAGTGCCCAGTGCACCACAGAGAGACAGGCATTCAGGCTCTCTGCATCACCCCTTGCTATGGGACACTCCTGACTGCCCCAGCCTGCAGCTGCGTGGATATCTCACACCAGCCGCTTCCCTTGGCACAAGTACCTCGTTAGTGCAGGTGCCTGTGTGAGTCACAGTTTAGCTGAACTGAGGGAGGTGTATTTATTGCCCTTAGCAGAGCTGGTCTTCACTCCCCAGGGAGTTGTTATGAAGGAGGTGAGGGAAATGCTTATTTTAAAAAGCTGGCACTGGTGAAAGTCAAAGACACCTGGATCTTAATCTCTGTTTTGTTCCCTTTGTTTTTGATTTTGCCAGAGACGAGCCAAAGCAATTGTGGCTTGTAAATGAGGTGTGGCCCTGACTTGGCTGGAGCACGGATCACAGCAGCAATCTATATTTAGATAACTCATTTCTTGCCAGATTAAATAAAATATTATAAACAGCAGTTTAAATAAATATAACAGAAGAGCCACAGGAGTAAGCTAAGCACGTATGTGTATGTGGCCACATGGGAGATCTAGTTGCATAACTGAGGCCCAAACTGCATCAGCAAAAGCCCATTGTCTTCCCAAAAGCCAAAATTGGTTGGGACTTGAGCATGCTTGGCCATATGGCTTCTGCCTCCCTTCCCAAGCATTCCTGATGATGTGTCTGTGTCCCACACGTTCAGAGTGGAGCGGTGCACAAACCGCATAGCCCTGTGACCGCTATTTTAGATGCAGCAGAAGAACGCTGAGAGGATTGGATGCAGCCAGCAGTGTCCTTGTGACTGCAGCATCCGAGCGAAATGCTCACAGCTTCACCCAACCCTCAGAATTTACTTTTGTCAGGGTCCAGATTCTATAGAGTAGAGCAATGAAAATCTACTGAAAGATTTGCTTTCACAGTTTGCTCTCAAAGTACCCCCACCCCCATGCTCAGGGACATGAAGGGGCTGAAACCAGAGCTCCCGTCCTGTTAGAGGCAATATGGCTCATTTTCCTGTGAGTTTACCCTGGACAAGGGCCAGAGGGGTTCTGCAAGGGCTTTGATACCACTTCAGTGAAGACAGATTTTCTCATTTCCATGCTTCTGTGAGCCAAGGACAAAACTCTGTTTTCCTACCCTGATGGGTAGAACTGGGGGGAGAAAAACCTTTATTTCCCAAACTATCTTTTACTAAATCATGCTTGAAAGTAAAAATGACCCTGATCCTCCCCATTCCACCTGCCTTCTCCTCCTTCCTCCCAAGAAACCCCTTATGCCACACTGAGTTATGCTTCATTTGCCAGGCTGTCATGCTGAATATTTGGCTTTCTCCACATCAGAGTGAGCAGGTTCAGACTCACTTTGGTCTCCAGGAGCACAGGGCCTGCTTTGAAGCCTGGCCAGGGCAGAAAACTGGCACCACGTGCTTCACTCTGCAGTAGACAGGAGGAGATGCATTTTGTTCTTGCAGGATCTCAAAGTTACTGAATTCTTTTTGTTTTCTTCACCCTCCTAGGAGCTCATTGAGGTTGACAGTGAAGTGGTGTTTGAACTGGCTGCATATATCTTGCAGGTAAGCACCAGCCTCTTCTTGCTTCATGCACCTTTGTATTGAATCTTTTGACTGGCTAAATCAAAAAGGGCTGTACAGAAGTGTAGGGGTTCCCCAAGAGTCCCTGCGGACCAAAGGGAAGAATCCTAATTTATGCCTGAGATACATGTAACCTTCAGCTTATTTTCAGGTTTGCACTGAAAATGATCTTTCTTTTCAGCAGATAAGTTATCTCTACACAGCTTTCAGCATTTATACCAAAGCAAAATAAGTACAGAAGCCTCTTACACCAGAGCTCTCCACATGTGAAGCAGATGCCACTGCACCACATTTTGCTTACATAAATGTATATATCTCATTAGCTCTAACACAGATATCCAAAGCCTTGGACTATGATGTAAAGCCAGAAAGAATTCTAAGCTATAAATGAGATTTCCTGGATGAAATATGTATCCAGTGAATTCCTCTCCAATGACTTCAATTGCATTTGTTTTATCAGTGTTGTTTGCCCTCCTGATGATCTCCATAACCTTCTATATATGCAACTGTCTGTATTTTCCAACGTGGGCAGAAGGGCATAAAGCCTTTCCAAAACCACTTCTTCAGAAACAAAAATTGTCTTGTCATTTCCCTCATCAGCAAGAGGGAAAGGGTCAGAGCTTGAATTACCAGCAGGGTTTGGTAAATCTCTTGTTCCCAAAGAGGAACTTTTTCAGGGCAGCAGAAGCGTTTGGTTTGAAAGATCGCTTTTTATGAGCATAACTATGGGACCAGATCAGAGATAGCTGTCAAATGATTCTTGTCCCCTTTTCTCACGGTGTAGATTCTGTTTTGTTTTCCCATCAAGCATGAAGCTGTGAGGCTTCATGTGAGCAGACAAGACATCTCATCAGACTGCACAAATAAATAACAACGCATTGCGCTTTTACAGCACTTTTCATGTTAAGGAAGCAATTAATGTGTAGGGATTTGAATCTTCATTAAGAACATTTTGTGTAACAAAAATGGAGAGAGAGTCAGGATGGGGGACTCAATTAAAAGCACATTAAAGGAATTGCTTATTGGTTGTTGGGGAATACGCATCAAACAAGAGGGTTATTGTGTGAAGTAGCAGTAGGGTTATGAATCTATTGTCTGCTCATCCTAGTGAATAACTTAGGCACTTAGTAACTGTACGCCCAGATCCAGATCTGCCACTCCAACCCTCACTGCTGTGATTGTTTCTCATCACAAACACAGGATATTGCGTTTATTCCTGTAGTAGTTTGATGTGTAACTTCATGAAAACAGTCAAAACAAGCCACACCTCTGCCGTCTGTAACCAGAAATTACTACAGTCCGTGTTTGTGACAGGATCTGTGCGAAACAAGAGGGATCACGCAGCATTGTTTTAGTCTTCGCTGCAGCGTAGAGGTCAAAGAACTGAAGGATGGAGAATCAACCCTACAAAACTGTTTTCTGAATTCAGTACGCTCATCCTTGCTCAGGCCAGGGCTTACCTTTTGGGTTTTGCTTTGTGTTGTACTACAATCATGATATGTTCAAGGATTCCTTTCCCTGAACCACAGGAGAGCCCTTCTGCCCTTCACTATGCCCAAGGGGACCTGGGAAGATACTAAAGGACTGTCAGAACTCAAATGATTTACTCTGCAGCCTTATTTCAAATTATTGTGTTACCAGAAAAAATTGAAGTCCTACCAAAGCTCTGTACTTTACCCCAGCCTCAGAAGTGAAGCACCACTGAACATGGGCTGACAGGTTTTGAGTGTGGATGGGTGAGTGGAGAGACAAGGACCTGAACAGAAAATCTGGAAACTCCCTCATTGCAGAAATTACTGACCAGTTATAAATTACATTATTGCACTGTGCTTTGTGCATAGCTGTCAGCAAATAAGGTGCTTGGCATACATAGAATGAAATGTATATTGCCTGTGGATATTGCAAAATGCAAATTGCATCTATTGAAGATGGAACTCAACAGATTTTGAGGGTATGACAGATATCCAGTAAGACTCAGATACTGATCTAAGTATTGCATAGAATATTACCCAATCCTTTAACATCAGTCCATGACATTAATAAATAGAAATAACTGGATATTTAAGTAAGGGAGCTAAATACTCCCAGAAATACCCAGCAAGGTGTTAGGAAGTTCTGAGTCTTACACCCCCTTGGGAGCTGCAGGTGAGATAGTTTTCTGAAAATCTACTTAATGGGAAATAATTGGCTATTGTAAAAAGTCCTGAGGTTCTCAGAGGCTGCAAAGTCACTGAGGCTTTAGAGGTTTTCTGTTAACATAGCATCCATGTCGACCAACATAATAACTTAGTACCATTATTTCCTCTAGCTTCTTGGGAATCCATTAGCAGAATGATGAATCACTTGGCCACTGTTATTAGGCAAACCTTTTGTTTGTTAATCTGCCTGGCTCACTGCAGCTGGTGTGGTGCTTGGCTTTAGAGGCTGGTTCAAGAAAATACATGAGGAATCACTTACAACTGAGGAAGTTGCTGCTAAATGAATTTTGCAAATGGAAAATCTTTAACAGCGATTTTATGGATTTCTGTGTGTGCGTTTTTTAATGGTATATTTATGCTTATCCCTTATTTTGCAGGAGGCAAAGGGAGATTTTTCAAGGTACGTAACATTAGAAGTTTTTGTCATTGTGTGTTTTGAGAGTGAATCAAGTGAAATCACAGTGTGAGTGATGTGACTCAGCTGTAGCTGTGTAGCAGCAGGAATGGATTGCAAGGATAGACACCCTGTTTCTTTACAAAACACAGCCTTTGACCAGAGCATGCCCTCGCAAACAGCATTATTTGTTATGTTGTTGTTGACAAATCCCTTTATATACCCATGAAGTTCAGGAAATAAACTAGTCTTTGGAAGGAAACTTTTTTTTTTTTGTAGGGAAAGGACCCTACAATCACTTTTATATCACAGACCTAGCCTGAGGCAGCATTAAAATTCCATCACTGATCGATATTTCAAGCTCGAATTTGGACTGAGTTCTCAAAATCAGAATTTAAATGACTGGTTTTGTTGAACTCCTGCTGTCCCTTGAGCCAAATCTTTAGAAGTGCTCTAAGAAATTCGAAGAGGTGACTCTTTCTATTCTATAGCAATCAAAGGTCAGGTGGCTGTTTGATGCCTCATGTGAGAAACATGAAAGTTGTTCATCTAAAGCCTAGGAGATCTGTTTGCTAAATAATTCACACACTCCATATATATTTTTTTGCTGACCTGTGCCTGAGGTCATCCGGGGAACCACAGTATCCACAGAAGGTAATTTCAGAGAAGAAAAGAAGGTGTGATTGGGCAGTGAGGTTGAATTGCTGGAGAAGCTTGTTGGCGTTACGCACACTAATGGTACTCCACACACACACAGAGGACTGAAAAAACAGCAACCAGAGATACGCCAGGTCCCACCTTGTGGTAAATTGAGACTTCCAGTCCACTGAGTTTCAGATAAAGTAGCAAAAAGGCATTGCAAATAATTGCCTGCTCGTCACAGAATCTGAGATTGACGTAACGTAACCCTTGCTAAAAAAAAGTTCAAGTTCTGCCCTATCATTTCTCAAAACACAGAAGCGCAAACCCAATTTTGCTTCATCTTTCAGTTTCACTCAGTTATCAGCACTGTTCAGGGGACGCTGGAGTTCCTGTGGCTCTTCAATTTTTCAGTCTGGTTTTCCATGCACTGTCATGTGCTCAGCCTAGAAGACCTGGACCAAACAGAATTTTCTCACTCTGATCTGTGCTAAAGCACATCTTCCATTGGTTTTACTATGAGGACTAATATTTAAAGTTTCTCGGAATATCTAGCCATGATGAATCAAGCTACATGCTCGGACTATGAACCTTAGAACAGAGAGGAATCAGTTAGATGGCTCAGTGTAATAGGACTGAGAGCATTTTCTCTTCAAGTATTTCTTTCCAGACCTGAAGTGGAAATAGCAAATGGAAAACATCCATCTTTGCTGTAAAAGGAATAGTTGAGATTACCAGCACATTTCTCTAGGCCTTGAGGATACCCAAAATGTCACAAAACGTGGTTTCTCTGTGCTGTTATAGCAGTCATCACTATTAAAACAGCTTTTATTCCTTTTCACCTCAAACCTCTCAAAGGTTTTAAGTGGAAGAGGGAATCCTTATGGCCAAGTCAAGCAGAGAAGTGGTGTCATAATAACAGCTTGCTGACAGTCCCAGGGATCTTAACTTTTAAATGGACTTTGGAGACAAAGCAGTCTGCTCTATTAATGGAATTTAAAGGCTGTTCTTGAGGAAACGTTGAAAAATCCTACCCTGACAATTTATATTCTAGGAGAAGACTTAACATCTCCAGGGATACCTGTCCAGTGTCTCCCTCATAACGTGCACTGACAGGGGTTTATGTGCTGGGTGAGATCCAGGTGCTACTGAAGTCAACATGAGGTCATTGTGGTCAAGACTTTGCCCACTGAGAGTTGTGGTTATTTGTATCAGTGCAAAATCTGAGAGGCAAACCAAGCCAGGAGCCAGCAAAAGGAACTGCAGATGAAGATATACGTACTGACTGAATGGCTGAAGTTGGCTTTAGTGTGTGAAGTTTGCTGTTGAAATGTTGCTTGTAACACAACTGGCTGTTCTTTCAAACAGAGAAGCTTTGCAATTGTGAATATCTTGAGATTTAAAGATAGTATTTTGTTCATGGCAGCATATGTTGCATGCAAGCTGAACTCTTGAACTCTTGCTTTGTTTTCAAAGAATGCAGACTGAAGATTTCCACACTTGGGTTGTCTGCTGCCACCATCAGATTTAGAGCCTGTGTGACTGCAAGTTTCTCTTTGGCCCTAATCCATAAGAGCACATAAGCACCGGCTCATTTGTGATGAGGGAGAACAGTTGTTCCCAGGGAAGCCTTCCTATGAGTTGCTGCTCATCACCTTGGGTACTGGGATAGCCATGGCCAAGTTGTCACAGTTTGAACTGGGGCTGGCACCTGCCCGTAGTGACCTGAGTCACCAAATCCCACTGCACCCAGGTGGTGGATCACAATGGGCTAGTTCAGGGTTCCAGAATGAAGTTGCAAATCTTCTTCTGGGGTTTCATTAGAACTCAAAAAAACAGAATTGATCTTAGAAATTCTAGCAGTTAGTTTTCTAGTTTTGTGAACTACCGCATCTACCTTGACAGCAGCTCTCACTGCTGCTTTAGAGGAGCTCATCCCATGCCTCAAAATGTAACTGTGCTCGTAGTACTCTTCTTTCCTATACCCAGAAGAGCTTTATGTGCTATTTCAATGTCATGTTGTTCATTCTTTGGTAGGACATCATCACATGTGAGTGTCTCTGCACTGATTTTTGCCACCCAGGATTACTGCCTAGTCTGGGCATCTTAATTTCTGCCCAAGTGTTTGCTAAGCCTGGAGAGCACATAGTCTCTGTCTTGAGCTGGTTCTGTCTTGAGCTTGTCTTAACTGTCTTGAGCTAAGATGTCACAATAGCCCTAATGGATCCATTTGGTCTCTAACTCCTCCAGCTAAGGTTTTTTTTCCCCCCATTTCTAATATGTAATTAATTTCAAAGGCAGATCTGTCAAAAATCCTGAGCTCCTGAACCTTTCTAGGTGAACCCGGAAAAGCATTTCTCAGTGTTTGCTTTAAGTGGCCTGGTCAAACTCAGTGTTTCGCAAGCAGATTTTTACTTCTCTGGGTTGATGCAGATTTAGGCAGAACACAAACTGAGTGAGATTTTAAAATAGAATGTAATTCTCCTTAAAATGTTCCTAGTCCTCTGCACTAACAGATGAAGCTTTTCACATAGTTGCAGACTACTAAAATGCTTCATTTGACAACAGAACGGAAAAGGTTTAGATTTAGCTTAGCACATACTATTGAATTTTGGGCAATTAGGTATCCCTGTTCAATGGATTCTCAGTTAAACAGGACACTTTAGATTTGAGCTGTTCTTTTTGGTATTAGTTACCCAAAAATTGGCACAGGATCACCTGTTCTGTAAAGCTACTAAATTAGTATACCACAAACAGATGTAAAGGTTATTAGCTCAAGCTAAAATTATTTCTAGGTGGGAACAAAGTCACACTTGGTTGGCAGAGAATAGGCAGTTCCAAGTTTCATTTTGTTGGATGAATGTAAATCCTACAGGTGTGACCCCCTTTAGGCCCTCAGAGATGAAGGAATTATGGTGCTCTGGTTTATTTGGTTGTGTGCCATAGTATATTGTTATTAGATTTTCCCCTCTAATTAACCCTACCAGATTTTAAATCCTATCTGATGTAGACCAAAATAATTGGGTAACTCACACCAACTTTGGTTTTAAAAATTCTGAATCCAGCTTCTCAACCCTAAGCAGTCCCTATGTCAAGGCAGCTAGAAATAACATACACCAGTCATACCTTAGACTGGGGAGGGGAAATACTGAATTAAAGAAAATCCTGAAATGCTGCAGCTAGTTCTTCAGGCTGACCCTCCTAGATTGCAGGTTAAACACTATGAGATATTTCAAGTCAACTCCAAGTATCTCCCAGCAAAATATGAAATAACAAGGAAGGAAAGGAAAGCAAACAGCCAGTTTGCTGTGAAGTAGAGTTTCATAATAAAGTCAACATCTGGGTGGATGGTAACCTGACATGGTTTCAGGCTTACTTTTCTTTCCGAGTAACTAAGTGGCATTTAAACAGCTGAAATTTATTAAGTGGTTACAAAACCCATTCTGCACTCTTCCATCTTGCAACCACATGGAGGAGATCCTACACACTGTATCTCAAATGGTACTGTTTATTCTGAGAATTTCAGACTCTGCATTTCCTTTTTCGTTCAACTGAATTAATTGCTGTGCTGAGAAGAGTTGAGAGCTTTCACCTGCAGTTTTGTTTTGTTACTGATCACTGTTATTACACATGCTGGAAAATGTATGGACTTCCTGAGACATAACTGCATGTGTAATATTGCTTAAAATTATTGCAGCCAGTTTGCAAAAAAAACTCACCTGTTTTTCACAAAATGCTTATGAATTGGCTAGGTAAGCCTTTATGTTCATGTGTAGAAAAAATTAGAGATGCAGACAGCAGTTTTTTGGGCCAAGGAACTCAGGTGTTCCTGTTTTCTAGGTCCATTCTCCAGCCAGTCAACTCTATTTCTGGATGTCTAACTAGCAGCCAGGATCCTGTGGAGATGGCTTTTCCAATTCATTTTTCATCTTGTCATTCAGTCTCCTAAATAATATAATTTCCACGATAGGGCAGGATTGAAGTGGTCTGGAGGACATAAAGGAAGTTTCTTTGGAGCCTTTTACTGTGTGTATTAATGAATGTGAATTAAAAGCACCCTTCTATATATTACCAATCCTGGAGGTACACGAGACACTTTAAGACTATGAGACAAATGCAGCACCAGTGACAGGATTAAACACTTCCTAAATACAGTAATAAAATAAACACACTGAGATATTTCACTAGAAAGATTTGGAAACGCAGTAAGTAAGAAACCACTTGTGATCCTGCTGGAAACATTTCAAAAATTAAGGAGTTTGGTGTTTTAATGGAGGAAAGTGACCTCGTGGCCACCAGTTCAAATGCAATGTGAGCCATTCTTTTTTCCTGTCTGCTTGATTTGACATCCTTTAGGGAGTCTAAATTCAATTGCCTCGAGACTCTAGCCAGAAGACTCAGTGAATATACGGACTAGGGAATGAAATGTCTTTTTGTTCTGAAGTTATGACCTGAAGTACATTTGTCCCTTTGAAGTCATACAGCACTACCTTTATTTTATGATATTTTCTAGGTACTGAGCAGAAATACTGATGCCATCCAACAACATTACAAGAAATGTCTTTTTGTCGGATTTTTAGAAGACTGTTTTTAATCCCAGTGCAGGCTTTTTCCTCACTGGCAGGAAAGAAGGAGCTGATTGGTATTTGCCCTCTCTTTCATGGGAGCTGTTACTGGCTTAGGGTTTTTCCCAGACTCTCAATGATAGTTAGTCACTGCTAATCTCATCCTACTTGACAGTTGTCTGAGTTCAGAAAGCCCCTGTTTGGAAATCACTCTCTATCTTCCCAGAAGAGTTTTGGAAGTTTCTCAACTTCCTTCTGTAAGCAGCCAACCTCAAAAAATCTTCACTTGAGGGTAGGAGCTGCCTCTTGTGCTTCAGTTGTTCTGGTAATTTTTTATAATCTTTTTTTTTTCTTTTTGGTGGTAGGTTTTTTTTTTTCCTGTTTCTTTCATAATGTCAAAGAACTCATTAAGAGCTGAGTATCACATGCTGTGGAGGAGATATCTCTAGGCAGATCCCGTAAACTCTATACAGAGCAGAAGCTTGTTTTCTGAGCTGTCGAACACAGCACAGTGGCCAGATCAGCAGATAACACAGAGCAGAGCAGCTTCTTGTTCAGACTTGTGCATATATTTACCTGCACATGGTAAATGAAAGAAACATCTGAATAGTTTTCAATCATTTGCACTTGCAAAGGAAGATCCGATGTTCAAATGACTGTGAAATTTAGGCAAGAGTGGGTCTTCAAACAGTTTGCCAGACTTGGCATATGAGATGCTACTGAGTTGTTTACTGTGTGCTTAGTATGGCAGTAGTTGCCATAGTCATATCTTGCAAATGCTGTTCTACACATATTCCTTCTGCAAGACTTGAACCTGATTGACACTTGGGCATCTCTGGCATAGATTTATATTGACTAGAAGTCATGGTCCTGTTTTAATTCTACTTATATGATTGTCAGGGAACTGCCATGATAATAGATACCTGTAGATGTTCCAAAACGTCTGCTCCAAGGTTTATGTTAATAGTTTATCCTGTAGCTCAACCCTGCAATTAACCTGCAAACTCCAATTAATACAAACCCATTTAGGTCCCAGGCAGAGCCTTCTGCTGGGATGCACAAATAGACAAATGCTGTGGGAAAATGTTTACTGAAGCAGTACAACATCTCTGGGAGCCGCCCTATAGGATGTCACAGAGACCAGAACAAAGCACAGGGTGAACATCCTAGGGCTCTTTGGGCCTCAGATGGTCAGGTGGTCCTGTCAGGAGGGCTGGTCTACAGCTGGGGATGCCAAGACTACCTGTCTGCTTGCTTAATGGCTCTGCTGCTCTACAGGGGAAGCAAATAGGCTGGGAAATTTAGAGCTCTGGAAGAGGTGTCTGACTGCAGCTCCAGGATAGAATCACAGAAGCACAAGGTTGGAAATGACCTTCAGGATCATCTTGTCCAACCGTCCTCCCATTACCATTGCTACCTCAAGCTACTAAAGCATATCTCGTAGCTCCTCATCCAGATGCCTCTTGAACATTGCCAGGGACGGCGACTCCACCACCTCCCTGGGCAGCCATTCCAACACTTTTTTGCAGGATAAAGAGCCGAGTGCAAGAAGGCAGGAAAAAAAATGCTATTAAAAAGTCAGCCAATTTTGGCACTTCTCAGTGTCCTGTCTGACCCTCTTAGCAGTGTATTTCTAAGATACTAAAAGCAGCAGCAACTCTGCTTTCCCTTGCAGACCTTTGAGAGCTTTCTTTTTGTGTGCTCACAGTTCCTTATGCATTTGGAAGCTGAAGGGAAGGCATTTTGGGCTGCTAGAAGAAAATCCCATGGTTTTATTTCATCTGTGAGAACCGGTCTGCCATTTCATGAGCATTTCCTGCTCGTTGGTGTGCAGCTTTGTTGCTCCAGTTGGCCAGAGCTGTAGCTGGAAACTGCAGGGAGGAGAATGCTAGCGAAGTAATTGGGCCTGGTCCTACTGAGGATGTAAATTCAGGCTGGAGTCTTATCAGTGAAGATGTGCAAAGGCCTGTTCCCAAGTGCAAAATGCTAAGAGCAACGTATGGTGCTAAGAAAGCAAATAATTACTTTTTGCAACAGGTTGTAGGCATTAAATAAAAATGTTTTACTGCAGATGAAAGCATCTCTTCTTTTTTTTTTTTTTTTTTTTCTTTTTCCCCTTGTTCTGTTTATGAATGTGTTCTTGGGACATTGCTCTGTGCAATGTGGCATGGTAACTTGTGTGTCCAGAGTCACTGGTAGGAAATGCTTCAACATAACCATCTGAAAGAGCTTTGCTCCAATTTTGATAATAGAGGGAAAAGTTAACCATGCTGCCATAAAATAAAGAAAATGGGAAAGGAAACCCCACTGCCGTTTGTTAAGGAGGAACAGATGTAGAGCTGTAGCAGCCTGCCAGCTAGGTCAGGTCATATCAATACTGTGGCTGTTTTCTTGTAGCCTGATCCTCCTTTTGAATTCTCTTTCAGCAATGAAGTTGTAAGGAATGAATTAAAGAAGCTGCCAGCCCTTCCAACACCAGCGCTGAAGGAGCATCCTTCCCTTGCTTACTGGTAATGTTTCATTCTGTTGAGTAGCTTTGTAGTGTTTCATCCAGGGCCTGGCTGTGGCAGTCAGAGGTCTGGGAGTGATACTGGGGCAGGAATTCCTGCCTCCTAACTCTGGATCTGACACCAACTGGTTGCATGATGCAGCACAAGTAAAGTACAGCTATCACACTGCAAATCAGTTCCCCATGTGCCAAATGACTCCATTAATGTCTGGGAAGAAGATTCACTGTAAACCTCCAAGTGTCCCAATGAAATCAAGAGACCAACCTAATATGCCATTCCCTTTTCCAGAACTTTACATCTGTGGAAAGCAAGAGTTTTCCCAGTTTGAAATGTCAGTGTTTTGCACTGCTATGCATTGTTTTTGAGTGATTTATGCTTTACCTTGCAATTCCTCTCTGAACGGCACAGCTGAACTAACAGGGATATATTTCTTCTATAATGTGAACTAGGTGATGTTTGGAGGTGGAGGCTTGCAACTTTAGCTTTTATTGCACTGAAAATGAAATGCTGAGTAGGAGAAGGATCACAGTTAAATTCTGTATGTCTCACATATAGCTTCTGTACCACCCTGCCTATCCCTCTCATCTGTGCAAACAGGAAAAAATTAACGGGGAGATGCTCTCACTTGATTTTTCTGTTTGTTTCCCTAGCATCTTTGTCTTTATAGCATTCATCTACAAACCTCAGGGTGGGAGTGACCTTCTTTATCTGCTACTCTCAATTTCTTGATAATCTTGATAATCTGAGGATGGCAGGGGAAAAAAAGTTCAATTTATGATTTCAAGTCTTCATTTCGCCAGCAAATCCATTCACTTTAAATAGCATGCCTGTAATACCAGAACTACTGGTACCTAGTGTCAAGCTATAGACCAATCTCTACTCTGTGAGGTACTCATCACTTTCTAAGCACATCAGGGGAGAGTCGGAGTCCTAGGCAGAGATTAGGAACATTCACACAAACTAATGGTTCCCTTAATCACAAACACATTAAAAGATGTGTGGCCTGGTCTGGCTGACACTGTGGTAGCTCAAGTTAAAAGCCACCACAACAGAAACGGTGGGAACAAATAGCATTGGACAGGGAAGAAGGCAAATCTGACCCTTCAGTAGCTACAAGGACTAAGGTCTTATTAAAGCACCCACATAATCTGTGCTCCAGTTTCCTGTGACAGTATCTGCATATAGGAAAGCACTGACAACCTAGGCTGCCTGTCAGGCCCTATCTGCTCATCTGTCTGCCCCCAAAATCAATGAGATAACTCAATATTAGAGAATATTAACTCTATTCCTGCTGGGAAATCCCAGTCTGGGACATCCTGTGTCTTCTCTTGCCTTTGGGCTATGTTGAGTCACCTGGAGCAAGAAGAGCCAAGTGAAAAGCTGAGAATGCAAGTATTTATGGTTATATACAAGTACAGCACTTCTTGCAGCTGTACTTAATTCTGTGGGAGTTCCCATTTGACTGAGAACAGGTCACAGATTGGGAAGCTAGTTGTTTCCAGTGGGGTAATAAAACCAGTGGCTACAGTCCCATGACTCACTTATAATTTCACTTCAGTGACCAGGCAGTTAGTTATCTTTAATAGTGGCTTTTTCAGGTGGCCTTCTGAAATGCTGAATGGTCTCAGGAAGAGGCCACTGGTGAATCCAACAAAGACTCCAAAGTACAGCTTCAAATTTCCTTGATCTAAGAGGGCAAGATTTAAAGACGTGTTTACTGACGTGCTGCATCCCTTCTCTTCTGCATCTCACACAGGTTGCATACTAGATACAAATTTAATCTTGTCCCTTTCTTTTTGTAGTCAGTTTTGTGCTCTGGTTCTTCAGTATTAACACGAAGCAATAGCAAATGAATTTCTAGCTCCAGAAAAGAACACTGAAAATATCAGGGGTAGGGCAAGCAATTGTTCCAGTTAGTTTTAAACAAACATACAAAACAATCCTATACTATATTTGTAACTGAATCAGAGTAGTCTGAAATAGACTAAAGAGTGATAAAATGCTAGTTCAAGTAGATACCATGATGCCTTCAACAAGTGACTATTGCAGATCTGCGTGAACTAATACAGCATCTCTGATTCACATCATGAAAAGCATCACCAATTGCTCCTATTTAGTGCAGTAAGACCAGTAGGATGGGTCCTGGATTCTTAAATTCAGTGAGGTCTGAGTAAAGACAGTTTGTGGCCCCCAGCTCCACCTTCATGGAGTCTCCTGGTTACACACCCTTGCTCCAGGCCTTTCCACTCCAACCTCTTCTTGGAGATTTGAAGACCTCACAACAAAGACGAAGGTTGTAATTTGTGTATCATGATGTTGCTGTTTACAGCTCTTCGTAGATTAAGAAGCATTAGTTGAACATCTTGTTCTCAAGCCTATCTTAGCATGACTGATTGAAGCAAGTAGGGTGTTGTGGGGTTTTTTTTGTTGTTCCAAATGAAAATTGAGTTTCTAGTCCTCTCACACAGTCCAGGAACTGAGGCCCTGAATTTTGATTTCTCTTGTCCATGCATGGAAACAACTGATAGTATTTATTATTTTAGACTCAAAAATAACCACTGGACACTGGAGATTATGTGTTAGTTCACTTTCATTGTCGTTGCATTTTGTCTTAATCTAGATCTTCCCCAGCAAGCCAGCACAGGACTAGGTTACCAAAAGAATACAAGGATCCGAGGTAATAGCACAAAAGTAGGTGCCAGAATGGGATTTCTAATGAACTACAGGGAAGCCAGACTTCTCCCAGGTTCCAACAGAGTTTGCATGCAAGTTGTTTTTAGCAATCAAAAGCATCAGCATTGGCAGAAAATCCAACTCTGAAGATACTGACTGAAAACCACAATTCAGTTTCTCTTAATACACAACAGACCACAGGCTCTGATCCTCCTATTTGTCCTCATGGCCTGTGAGATGCTCTGCTGGCTTCAGTGGGGCAGTATTTGATCATTTGGATCACTGCAAATAGAGACGATGTTAGCAAATTTGAGAATATCATCAAAACTGACAAATCAGGCTGGGAACAGAATACAGAAGGGTGCAGCAGTGCGTGGATAGCTATTTAAAACAGCTCACTTTGCTGGGTATAGAGTGGAGAAACAAATGCCTTTGAAAAAGTGAATCTGGTAATAAGATCGGGCCCCACGTTTGCTTGCAAATTGCCTGTTCAGTTCTGTAGACTGCTGTGACAGGAGGGATTTATTGGTAATTCTTCAGATCTTTATGAGTTATTTGCTACAGGACATCATCCAAGTATTAATTTTTGCAGCTCTGGGGGGAACATTTTATGATCTGACAGGCAGACAGTAGCGCTTCAGCTGCCCCCATGTCTCCATATTAACTATGAATGAGTTTCTGTGTTGCTGACACAGCAACAAGCCAGAGCTGAGCAAGAGGAGACATCAGCTGGTGGTCCAGGCAGTGTCCTAGCACTCTCCCAGCTGTCAATAACAGCATGGCAGCTGCTTGGAGAACAGCTGAAATGACAAGGGAGAAGGTCTTTAAGCTCTGCTGATCCTCCTTCTGACCCGTGAATGATTTTGCTTGTTTTCCCTGGCACATACTGGGCTTACACCTCCATCCCAGAGTAGGAGGCAGAAAGTGACCTCTGTGCTGGATGATCCTCCTTGCGGGGCTGTGTGAATGAATAAAGAATCCAAAGAACTACTTGAGAAGCCAGCGTCAGGCAGCTAGGGTGGGATTCATCTGGTCGTCAACACTGCTTCAATGCAGACAACTCCACCTGAACTAGGGGCCCTCAGCTCCCTTTACTGTCAGTGGAGAGAAGCAACAATAATATCCTCCCAGGGAAACCACCCAAACAGACTGGATGAACTGTGCTCTGGAATACCTCTTCCCAACGTGTGACTAGCCCAGTGTTATAGAAAGGTGAAAGGCAGTAAGTCCTATTAGTGCCTTGATAATTCAGGCTTTATTTTTTATCCAAAAGAAAGCAGAACCAAGAATGATATTTTTCTTGCACTTACCATCTGCAGGTCTCAAAATGTTATAAAGGAACATATTCAGTATTCTAAGAGGGCAATGGAGGCATGGAGAGTGTTGCCTGTATTTCTTGAGGAAAACTGAGGACTATCCCACATCTTTTAGTATGGTTTGAGAACATAAGTTATGCTGTTCAAGAAGGCTCCTTGGCATCCAGTCTATCCTTTTAAGGAAATGGGCCATCACTTGGCTTCCATACCCTAGGGATGTGGTACAGGAATATATCTGTAATAATAATAATTTGTAAGAAAGCAGTGCACAGCCAGAACCACATTAAGCAACCAGGAGGCAGGTGCATTTACCTGTTCCTTGAATGGCACTAATATTAGAGCTCAATCTATACCTTAAAATGTGCAGAATGGAAACCAAAGCTATGAGCATTTTTTGCTGGAGAAACTCCACTAGTTTTTGAGAAGTCATTCCTCATTTATTCCTGTGTGGGACAGAGCAGTTGCATCCGTGTGCAATCAAGGGTTTAAAAGATAATTTCAAAGGGTTGTAAGCTCTCCCTGTCCATCTTTTTAATTAAGAATGATGGAGATCTTCCAGTACTGAGCACTCTTGTGATTCAGTTATTGCTCCAAAAGTAATCCTGTTTATGATAATCATAGCAGGCGAGCTAAGTTTTGCCTTCATATGCACGCCCGTACATCCACGGTACTTGCTGAGATCCATGGGCTGAATATGGTTTTATAACCATTGAATTTCATTACAGTTATTTTCTAAGCATTAAAATCATTCTGAGGGATTTAATGGGAGAGATGACCTTTGCTTTACCCATGTAATTTGTCACTGACTCCATCAGCACCCTCTGATGTGCTGTGGTGCGCTGGTGGGACATCTCTTCACCCTGCCCCAGTAAGACCCCTTTTATTTTCACTGGATGAGTTGGTGAGTGAGGAAAGCAGTTACTGTGACAAATGCCAGGCTTGTGGGAGAGCAGCTGGCCCTGCGGATGAACCGACAGACTGCCTCCTCTGAATCACTCTTTGGTGTCTGCGCCAGTGTTTTCGTTCCTCTACCTTCTTCCTGGCTTTACTAGGGACAGACACACAGTCCTCAGCTCCCCTGTGCCAGGGCCCCACTCCCCATCTGTGCACAGAACATCCTGTTTGTCTTGTCACAGTGTGGAATGTCCTCCTTGTGACATCACAGATCAGCATCCTGTGTATCACAGGAGGATGTGCATGGCCACGGCCTGTAACATCACTGAGGGCATTGTGAATGGTGTCAGCAGAGCTGGGCCCCGCATGGACAGGGGAACTTCTTTTTGGCAGAGACACTGCCCCAGACAGATGTTCCTGGCACATGCATGCATATGGGGAAGGCAGCAGTGGGAAGATGTAGCCATATTAGGTGGGCTATGCTCAGTGAAACAACTTGCATTTTTCCACAAATGGCACCATGAGCGCATCTGAGCAGTTACAGCAAGGTCATCTACCTTACCAAACTGCTGTGCTCCTTCATACTGTCCAGAAATAAAAAAGCTTCACTTCTGCCTGAAAAAAGATTATCATGTCGTGGACAACCACATGGCTGCCTTTAAATGTTCAGCTAGATAAAGAAAATGCAGAGAAGGAGCAATTCCAGTTCACAATAACCTAAACCATGTGTGGCATGATAACATTAGACAGACACTTGGTGCAAATGCAAGCTTACGCAGTACTAGGTGGGGAAGGAGTTCAGGTTTCCTCTTAGACTGATAATGTTTGTAATGTACCTCTAGGAGACACAACAGACTTGGAGTTACAACATAAAGAGCAAGAGATTGGATTTAAACATGAAATCTTGAGTATTCTGCTATAGAAATGCAGCAAAGCCTGTCCTGTGGGCATTACATTGCTGGAAGTTAAAGAACCAAAGTCAGACCAGCATGAAAGTACCAAGTCTGTAGGCTGTGATGTGCTGCAGATCGAGAGGAATGCTGTTGAAATCAGAGTGCACTGTGAACATTTGAAAGGAGATCACTGATTTATGCTTTGCCATGCTGTGACCTTGCTAGGACACCTGATTGTACGCATCAAATAGCTCCGGCTCTGTGCTCTCCTGCAACCCATTTACCAGAGAAATGGAAGATTCTTTAAAACTGAAACTGGGGATGTTTGACAGTCTGTTCTTTGGATCATGTTGATGTAGTCTCAGATGCTGCATCTCCGTTGTGTAGAGGTGAATGTCTAACCTGCCTTCATCAAATGTGCCTAGAACTGTTGTCTGACATTGAGGGCCACTGACTGGAACATTCTAAACCATGAAAATCTCTTACTTTCCAAAGCAGCACTAGGAATAGGCCCTGGCTGGTGCTAACTGCCAGTGCATGACCAAGTGTTGCCTGAGGAATTGCAAGTTAGTATAACCCAGAAATATGCAAAGGCACATCAATACTTCAACAACAAAGGGACTCAACTTTGAGTGACTAGGACACATTCTCTGACACTGTTTAACCTGCTGTTAAATACATAGCCTCTGTGTATACTGGGAATTTAACTCCTTGCTGAGATAGATGACTCCAAGAATGCTTCTACTAGTGCTCTTGCACATAGTTTTGTGCAGTTGCAGTGAGGAGTAATCATCTGTGAGTTTTAGGGCTCTTAGTGGGCACTAATTTCAGGGAGCTTTGCTAGCTGAGTACGCTTGGTGCTCTTGGAAAGAAAATGAAGCTTTAGCAGCATTGATACACACAGTGTAACATCATAGGCACCATTTGTATGTAAGGAAAGTATTGTGGAGAGGGAAAAGTCTGTAGGTGTTTGTGAGTTAAAAAGGGTTATTCCAGAAAACCAACTCTTAGCAATCCAGTTTTATTCTCAGCCTGTGAGCTCCCCTTGGTTTCCCTGAGTGACATCAAATTCCATCATCTAACATTTTTACTTGGCATCTTTTAATTCTCTTGTTGGTAGCTGTGCTAACAGAGCATTTATTACTCTTTTTGCATGCTTCTTGGTCAAGATATTGCCATTAAATACAACATCTCATTTCTTCTTTTCCAGCGAGGACCGAGTCATTGAACACTACAAGAAACTGAATGGCCAGACAAGAGGTCAAGCAATTGTGAAGTAAGTGAAATAAAAGCAACTTCTGGTGACCTTTGTTTTATCGGGAAATATTTATACTGGACTGTAAATCTAATACGTAGCTATGTCTCCCATCTTATCTAATGCTTTATGTATGTACTTATTATATATTTAAGCGTTTCTTTTTAGATCATCCTCTCAGTGTTATTCTCTTATGTGTTATTTTTCAGTTATATGAGTATTGTAGAATCCCTCCCAACATATGGAGTGCATTATTACGCAGTAAAGGTATGTGCTACAAAAAAGGGTTATTTACTGAATTATACTGATTTTGGAGAGGTAGGGGGAGAGGGGAAAATAACTGTACTGCTTTCAGAGTACAATGCACTATTACTGAAGTCTTGTTTCATTTCCTGTGGTAGAATAAATTTATTTCAACAGTGTAGTGAATGTTTGGTAAATACAGCCCCAAAGAGGAAAATGCTGTTCTTCAAGATAAAACTGACAAAGTCCTTTGGCTGTGCTAGAGAAGTTAGGCTAGAGATATTCAGGCCACATACAGTGGCAAGCTCTGGTGAAAACAGTGAACCAGCACCAAAGGAACAAGCCAGGCATTTTGCTGGCAAAGTCAGTGCTTCACTCCTTGTAGTAGTTCCAGGAGATTGGGTTTTTCCTAGCCTGCAGATGAATGAGCAACTAACTAGGGTCAGCCATGATCTGCAGACTGCAACTACTTTCATTTGAGATTCATATAGATGGATACAGATATAGTGCATAAAGATGCCAAATATTAATGCCAAATCACTGGTGCATACTCTAGACATGGCACTTTCCACCACACACACACTCACACACGCACCATTCTCCACTTCTTACTGTGACAATTTCATGCAGGTATTCATGAAATTCCTTATTTTTTCTGTTTAGTGATTTATCACCAAATTTTCCAATCTCATGCTTTTGCATTGAGATCTCTTGAGTATTCCAGTCCAAGAAAGATTGGATGGATTAGGCTGCATGTTCTAGCCTGCTAACACTTGAGATCTGTTCCAGTGGACTCTCCAAGATCAGTCTGTGCCAGTGAGCAGCAGTGAGGCAATATAATAGCTTTTGCTTCTGCCTGATGTAGGGGTTTTGGTTTTGCTGGTTTTACTCTGCCTTGCTCTATCACATTAACAGAACAGATGTAATTTCATTGAGGACTCCAGTCCAGTAAATTGCAGAGGCTGGTATCAGATATCAGCCATTACTGCATGAGGACATTTTATTGCACGCTCAGACACAAAGCAGTTGGGTCCAAGACTGTCAGACCTTATCACTTTGTAGCTCTCAGATCCCATTACTGCTGCATTTTCAAGATTAATGCTAAAATCCCTCCACATAATTCAAGTCAGCTGGGTGATTCTCTTTCCTTCCTCTCTGATTTCTGAGTGTTTGGACTGAATAATTTAAAGGGCAGAGAAAGAGGATGTACCACTACACAAGGGACCAATGTCAAACCTCCCTTGGCATCATTTTGAGTAACTTGATTGCAGATGATGCATTCTAAATGGTTTTATACATTACAGCTAAAAGTGAAACAGATCTCGTCTTAACACCAAAGAGTTTAGTGACTTGAGGAAATTCAGATGGGCAATTTAATGGCACCCATGACATTCTAAGACATTGCTTAGAAACAAATCTTTACCTTGAACACAGGAAATCTCTACAATTTTCCCCTCCCATTCAATTTAACTCTTTCTGTTTTTTTTTCTTTCAGGACAAGCAGGGAATTCCATGGTGGTTAGGACTTAGCTATAAGGGGATTTTTCAATATGACTACCACGACAAAGTGAAACCAAGAAAGGTAAGTGTTTGCTTTTCTGTCAAGGTCCAGGCTTGCCTGTCATGTTATAGCTTGATTTGAGGGTGTGATGTGTATCAAATGTTGGCACTGATTCATGTGATTTTGAAGGATGTGAAATTTCTCCCAAATGTGTCTGAATGTCTGCAGAGAATTAATGAACAAAAGTAGCTCTTAATTTATTAAATGTTGCAGTATAGGGGGAAAATAAGCAACACATAAACTTTGTTCCTCATGCTTCTATATAGCATGATTCATAGGACATAAATTGGAGGTGCTGAAGACTTTTCAATGGCTGTGATGAGATTGAAGGTGCTCAGCTGACCCTTCATAGTCTGTTGTCAGGCCATAAATTATCAGAAAGGGAGAGGAGAGAAGAGGCAGCAAAGCTTCTTCCATGCCTTACAAAAAGAAAATACTGCATCATTTTCTCCAGAGTAGCATTCTAAAAATGAAGAGTTAATACCAGACTGAGGGGGAAAACATTTTTATCACATGCTTAAAGAAAATGCATTAGGAAGTTTCAGCCCAGCATCTCATTTGTTTAGGAACTTTACATTGCGACCACTCACAAAGTAAGGCGTGGCATGCAAAGATCTGATCATAAAATTAGAGCTTAAGCATTGACAATCAGCTGTTCTGATCTTTTTACTGCTATCTTTTTGTGAGACTTTCAGTGTATCTGAAAAACAGGATTTGTCTCAGTCCTTCCAAAATGCAGCTGAGAAATCCAGCTAACAAATATCCTTTTCATTTGAGAGGAGAAAGGTTCTGATCCTGTGAGCTCATCCTACCAAGCAGGCTCATATGTTCTGATACTGCTCCCTAGGATGCAGTCCAAAACAAAAAACAAAGCTCATCTCTGAGCATGTGCCCTGCAGGCTGATATGTACAGTCTGTTAGCAACAGTACTTCATGTACTGCAAACCCATGGAGACGTCAGGAAACAAGGTCTGAGGCTTCTTTGCAGGCTACTGTGAAGAAATGGACGGATGATTTGGAGCAGCTAGGCAGCTCTCCTGTGGGTGCAAATGCTTCCATGCTGAAATAACACACTGCATTTCTCTTTGCCTTGTCTCTGTTGCCAGAGTGTGCCACTTCCTTTTTTCTGCCTCCTCCAAACACATTCAAGCTATAAAACACCTGGACTTTAGATAGCATCTTCTATTAAAATAAACTAGAATCAAGCTGTTGGTAGAAGACAGAACTGCTAAGGAGGAAGCAAGAGGTTATAGATTAGCCTTTTATCCACTGAAGGCCTTTCACTGGGTTTTTTATTCAATGAAGATGCGAATGAGGATGAGGAAAGCAAGGGGGTCTTCACAGAGCAGCTGTGCTCTAAAAGACTTATCTGTTTAGGATCAGTCACTACCTGCAGGGCAAGCCATACTTACACATGATAGTTCAAAACATGCCTAGGCTGGGTGTTTGTACCCACACATCTCCAACAGTGCCAGCTCCCCAGGGAAAACATGACCTTAAAACATGCCTTCAGAAGTCAATCACAGTGACAGAAGCATTTCTTAGGAAGAAAATAGTACCTTGCTATGAGAGGACTAATCATTCAGAAGCTATAGCAATTTTTATCAGCCCTGATAGTAAGAAATGGTTAGTGGAGGACAAAGAAGAAAGGAGGTCACATACTGTGACTGCATGAGAGGGTACAACTAGAAGAGTCAAGTCTCCTTACTTGGTTCCTCTACTTTCTTCTCACCTTTACATGCTAATGGTCTGAAGCATTGGTTTTAGAGCTTGAAAGCATTTTGGCTGGCCTCTCTGTTAACCTGTCTCCACCTCTGACAATTGCCTCTTGAATCAGAAGGACTGCAGGCATCTCCTGCTCTTCTTGTCCAACCATATCCCTAAAAAATAGAGTTTTCTCTTCAATGGGAATTTATTTTTAATCTAAGCAGATTATGTATACAATCCAGGAGACTCCAAAGAATAATGCTGCCTTATGAACAAACCAGAGAACTCTTGTGGCTTAAGAGAAGTGGTCATAAATATTGCAGAGTAAGTTGGGTGGGAGGAGAGAGTAGGAATTTCCAGGCTAGAATTTGTCCATTGCCACAATCCAGAGATGGCATCAGTGAAAAGGCAGCCTAGAGGAGCATTTCTCTGCGATGTGATACTTGCAGACCCCATCTGTTGGCAAGGCTATTCCAAAGTGCACAGCCTATATAAGGGATAGGACATGAACAGAGTGACTGAGGCTTTGTTATTTCTCTCTAGTCTGCTTTTACTCTGTGTGGACCAAGTAAAAAGACTTTTTACTCTCCACATGTAGTAAAATCCTTCTGGCAAGAGCAATCCAACTGCCTCAGTGAGATGCAATGTTTAATTCTTTTCTAATTAGATTGCAAAATTGCATTTGATAACTCTGGTATCTGGGAGCCTACCATAGGATCTGGCTCCTGTCATTGTAGCAGCAAGAAGTGGTTCAAGTCTGCTGTGGAAAGGGGAGGGGTAATCATTGATGAGCTTTCTGCAAGTAAAATTAGAGGGGAGGAGGGAAGAGATTATGTCTTTTCTGATATTTATTATTTTGTCCTACGCATTGCCAACACCAGAAACAAGCTGAAAAAAAGCAGTGCAAAAATAAATCTCCCTAAAAGAAGCACAAGCAGAAAACTGTAGCAAGAAACCAGCTGAAAGCAAGACATTTGTTTTAAATGCATATAAAAAACTTTGCTCGTCTTATAGGAGAGATTGTAATGTTTTCCTCTTATGTCATCCTAGACAGATTTTCAAGCTTACTGTGTTTGCAAGTAGAACTGTAACCCACACTACGCAGCTGGGCCTATCCCAGGCCATCCCATTAGCAGTCAGTCAAAAGCACGTTGTTATTAAACTGCTGGAGTAAATCAGCCATGTGTCTCTAGAAAGCTAGCTAGGTTTGTCAGCAAGTTGGACGAATCCAGAGAGGAGAATTGGGGCTGACGTTGGGCCAGAACCTGATATTGCTCCCAGTATTCTCACTCAGGCATAAGTCTTCTAGCATTACCCGGGGTGCAGTTGAGATGGGTATCTGGCACCTAGTCAGAGGTGGTTCAGTCAGGAATGTGGGGCTATTAAACTGGAATGCAGCTTGTGCTGGGCCACAGAGCCTAGTGTGACTCTGTGCTTCTATTTTTGTTTCCTCCTGCCTACGCTTTCATTCTGTGGAAGCCCCAAAACTAACCAAAGCCATCACTCTGAGGCCAATCATTCTCCCTTCTGTTTTTCTCCTATATGTTCAGGGACTAGCTCAGACTCAGTAAGTACTACCAAAGGCTTCTTGAATATCATACAATCATAGAATGGTTTGCTTTGGAAGGGACCTTTATATATATATATAGTTCCAACCCCCCCACTATAGGCAGAGACACGTCCCTCTAGATCAGGTTGCTCAAAGTCCCATCCAGCCTGGCCTTTAACTCCTCCAGGGAGGGGGCATCACAACCTTGCTAGGTAACCTGTTCAAACAGAGATTTGATTTGAAGTTCATTCTTAGGTATTAAATAAATGCAAAAGTTTCAGCCTCATTTAAGTAGACCTCACAAAACCCATCATAACAGCTGAAAAAGAAGAGAATATCAACTACGGAAAGATGGCTGCTGTTCTGCTAGAGAATGTGCTACTCGGTACTGTCCTGCATGTCCTGCAGAATGCTGAGGCATGCTGGAAATTTACTAACAGCTTATAGAACTTTTTTCATTTTTGTAACAGCAGTGCGCAGCTTCCAGATGGGCAGAATCCATCTACCTCTATGTCATAAAGACTTATCTTCTACATACTCTTCCTTGTGAAGAAAAAAGGCCCTTCAGGACTTGACGTGCACAGCAAAAAGGAGTCACTGCCCTGCTGGGTTCTACACAGCATCTTAGGTCAAGATGTACCTTCCATAATTCATGGTGAACCAAAGCATGCTCTTTGGAGCCAGCTCTTCAGAAAGGACATGCCTGCACTGCTTTATCAGTTACTCCTGAGGCTGTCATCACCAAGACCAGACATAATTTGTTTGTCTCTCTGTGTTATGCAGAGCAGTTGGAAAGAGCAGGACACTGCAGTCCCTCTATATTGTCCCTGTATGGTACTCATTCATTTTAACCAGTGGGTAGGGATGTAACTCCACTCTATCTGAAGGGACCCATGCATGAAGCCGAAGCAGTGTAGCCTGGAGCTGAGAGATCTGCATGCTCATGCAGTTGTAGCAGCACTAGGCATGTCTCTGTTGTTCTAGTGAGATATTCCCACTGATTTAAGAGCCTGAAGGCATCTTTCAGTGCACACAGCTTAACAGTAAGCAATTAACTCCAAGCTGAAGAATTAAAAAGTAACAAAGTCAGCCAAAGGACTTCCCTATGGCCAGTAAACAGGCACAGAAATTGTTTAATCTATCACCAAAAATAAAATGACCTTAAAGAAGGTCTGATACTGTATGGTTGCTTTGCCAGAAATACCACTATTTGGTGTTACCCAGTTTTCTTTCACAGAAAGACAGTGGTTATGAAACTGAGGGTGAGCCTTTTTTCTCAGGCGCATAAACATTACCAGTGTTCTCATTCTCCAGTTGACTAAAGAGAGCTCAAGAAGAATAAATAGTTTTGGAAACAAGAAAACATGTGGGACATCCCAAAATTCAGATGTGAATGTAGCTTGAGAAAGATTTTCCATAGCAGCTAAACATCCATTTCTGCCATTTCTTCCCAGTGTTATCCTTTCTCTGAGATCAAATAAAACATGCTATGAAAATACTATATTCTGTTTGTAATACCACCACAAAGCTCTATGGACTCTCATTACAGAAGGATTTAATATTTAGTAATATTGGAAGTCCAAAGCAATGCTAACAGCTTGACTTCCAATTTACACATGCAAAAAGAACTGAGTTGGACCCCTACTGCCAAGAAACACAAAGCACAGGTAAAATCAGTAGCTCTAAGAGTCTTATCAGAGAGAAATCACCTGCTTGTCAACAGCAGGAATGAAGCAATCAGTTTATTAATTTCGTGAAAGATTGC